CCCCATCCCCCCGCCCCCCCCACCCCTGTGCGGCCCCCCCGGGCCCCGTCCCGCTGGGGGAGAGGGCCGAGCCCCCCGCAGCCACACTGAGCCCCCCGCCCCCGCACCCAGCCCCCCGCTGCCGCGCCTCCGCCAGCCCCCACAGCTGCCTAATCCGGAGCACATTGCTGGCCTTCCCGTTTCCTCCCGGGAAGCCCACGCAGCCCCTGCGATTGTTTTCGGCACGGTGTCCAGGATGCGGCCCCAAGCGAGAGGCGGGAGCGGGGCTGGGGGCGGCTGGGCCCCCACCGCACGCTGCAGCCCGGCCCCGGCACCGCGCTGGGGGGAAGGCAGCCGGGGACCCAGAGGGAGGGCAGCTCCTGCCGCGGCTCAGGGCGAGTTGGGGGATGCTGGCGCGCAGGGGACGGGGGGACGCAGCGGGAAGCAGGTCCCCTCACATTCGCCATGAGGGGCGTGGGATGGACCCCGGCGCCCCTGGCAGGGAGCTCCGGGGTGCAGGGCTGGGGTGCAGCCCGTGAGCCCCGTTTCAGTTTGTCCCAAGTGTCCCTCCCTCCCCTTTGCTCCAGGCTGCCCCGTCCCCTTTCTGAGCCAGCTCCGGTCCCTCCGGCAGCTCCTCCTGCTCTGAGCCCCCCGGCCGCACTGAGCCGGGGCGGTTGGAGCACCGGCGGTGCGCGGGCGCGGGGGGACGCAGGCAGAGCGTGCGCCGCACAGTCGCTTCCAGAGCCACGCGAGGCCCAGGCGCAGGCCCAGCGGTGCTGGTGGCTCCCTCCCCTCCGCCAGCCGGGGACTTTGCTCTCTGGCATCCATCTCACCGATGGTGCCAGCTCCCTCTGCTGCTTCAGGGCCGCATCCAGGCGTGCCGCGGTGTCCCCACAGCCTGTCCCACCACTGCGGTCGGTGTCCAGGCCTCCCGGGCCTGCGGCGTCCCTCAGCCGGGCACGCTGAGATTTGTCCTTCAGCCTCCATCACCCCGCGCGTGCCCTCACTCGCAGCCGGGAGCTCCTGCGCAGTGGCCTGGCACAACACCTCCACCCTCCCGATGGCCACAGTCTCTGCTCGGTTGAGTCGTGCCCTCCCCGGGGACCGGGCTTTGCTGCCTGCCACAGCCAGGAGCCATCCGGTACGGGGAGAGGCCGCCAGGCACCCCCGGGACTTGCGGCGGCAGCTCGCGTGTCCCCGGCACGTGGGTGTGCAGTGGCCCCCGCCCTGGTGTGTGCAGATCCCCGGCACGAATGACACCACCGTGCTGTCCCTGGGTGGGAGCGGGGCCAGCCCGGCTACAGCTGCCGCTGCGGCGGGGGGGGCGG